AAGGGGAACACACCGGGCTGAAAGCAGTGGCGGGGCTGGAATGAATCCCCGGCTTGGGTTGCAGCCTTGAGCCCACGCAACGATACATATTTTTTAAACCTAAAAAAGGACTTAATCTTTCAGTTCAGGAGCACTCGGCCCTCACCCTCTTTCCTGCTTACAAAGGTGCTGCTCGGCCACTCACTTCTTGTGACTTTTTGGATTTGTTCTGTCCATCCTACACCTGCAAACTCGTGCTCAGCGTTTCCTGTCTTATTTTTAGTGACCTGGCCATGTTTTGCCCTGCTTCTCCGCCTCCGGCCTTCCTTTCCATGGGTGATGCACGTGGCAGCCCGCGTTGTTGAGGGACAATGGGGCAAAAAATCCCAGTCTTCCCCACCAAACGTGGCTTCTGTGGAACCAGAGCTTTCAGCTGCTCCAGTCTTGGAGCACCCACAAAGTCGCACCCATTTAACTAAAGACAAATCTGCAAGGTGGAACCTGTCCCCAGAGTGAGCTTTGAGGAACATCCCTTGGGTCCTGGTACAGCCCCAGGGGGGGATGAGATTCAAGCTGCCTGGAGAGCTTTGAGCGGGCAGGTGATGTTTCCAAAATCGCTGCAGAGATTGGGATCACAGCCTTGTTCTGCACGGCTGGAGTTCACCTGCTCAGGTGAGGTCTGTGGGGAGCCTCAGAAATTAAAATCAGTGTAAGAAACCACTGTCGCTCGTGTTGGTGTGTAAGCAGAGAAAGCACGTGGGGCTGTAGGCATGAAGGCTACCACAAATGGTTTGAAAATGAAGTTTCCTCTTCTCCTTCCCCAGCTGTGTTTACACCAGAGGGACAGTGTTTGTGGAAGCTGGCAGCAGGGGATTAGTTACACAGGAGTCCTGCCTGCGGGGACAGGGAGGGCTGGGCACTCCTCCAGCCCTGTGCTGTCACAGCCATGCTGCCACCCCACCAAGGTGACATGAAAAACCCAGGAGAGCGAGCAGCCCTGCAAGTGGGGACTCTAAACCGGTGCTAGCCACTGCTTAGTGAATGCAGGACATGCTGTGGACTCGTTGCTCCACAAGGAAATGTCACCGCCGTCCCTCATCGCTCCTCCCCAGCTTTGCCATGAGAGCAGCGATGGAATTTCTGCCCCAAAGCCAAGCAGGCATTGAGAAAATAGCAGTTTTTCAGCTCGAATCCCAAGGTCACTTGGGTATGTGCACTCCAGCGGAGCCCGTGGGAAAAACACAGGGCTTGGCTGGGGAGGAAAGTTCATCAACATGTGCTTTTTCATTAAGTACCACCTTTCAGAGGTGCCCTGACCGCATTCATGCTGTAGAGATGAAAGCACATTAGCCACAGTTAACCGGCAAAAAAATATTCTTTACAAAATAGTGACTGGCAGGGGAAATTAACTGTTAGCTGCTGAGGATGGTGCCAGCACCGCTCAGGGCTTTCAGGAGGCCGTGGGATGGAGCAGCACTGAACCAGGCTCACGGGAAACCAGTGGGAATAAGCAGAGGGTATTTTATGCACTAAAACTTGTGATTTCTGGATCTTCCAAAAGGTGAGATTTTCCAGGCTCCCAAAGCTTTGCAAGCGCTGAATTTGGGCAAAACTCCCCTGGGTGTGCACAGAGGATCGGGACAGAAATAACATGCTTGAGTGCACAAATTAGCAACTGGCTGTGAAATTGTCCCTGGGCAAGGCGAGCTCTGGCTCACATGGACCATTTCACCTTCACATCATGGGTTTTTTTAGAAGCCACTTGAAAAACATCTATTTTGCCTGGAGAGCGTCCCACAGCATCACATATTTGAGGTCTGACTTCTGGTTCAAAGCATCTGTAGCATAAATGGTCCCAGTGTGAATACATGGTGCTTTCCAATGGTCTCTTGTGGGCACAGCTTTGCTTGATGTGTCACCTACTCTAGAAGGACAGAGATCAGTTAGAGGCTTTATTTGAGATTCAAGGAAGCTACAAGGCAAAAAATAACATGTGGGTAATTTTCTGCCTGGAGAAAAGTTGTTAGCAAAGGACAGAAAGAAGCAAATGGAGCTCAACTGGCCCCATCGACTGGAAATGGTGCACTAAGGGGTTTTTTTAATGTTTTTTTTCTGCTTAGCAAATACACATGCCCTGCAGACTCAGCTCTTTCCAGGAGTGTCAACACCAGGACCACATATTCATTGTGCTCTGTGTTGCAGAGCCTCAGAAATAAGGCTTGGGCTGATTTTAATTGACCTGACCCTGATCCACTTTATCCATCTTTACCACTGGCTTAATCGGGTGGTTGCAACAACCGCTGTACTGCTGATATTAAATGAATGTTTTCCTACAGAGAACACCCCACCTCTTCACAGCCAGAAGCCTCGAGAAGAACAAGAGTTTGTTATTTAAGGGCTGATGGTGATTTCCTACATGGGAAGCCAGAGGGACACAGACAGGGTCCACCCAAACCCTTGCTTGGACCATTGTGTCAGCCCAAAAGTTCAGCCCTTATTTGCTTTCCCTTCTATTTTGGTCAAACCTTTGAGCTACTGGAGAAGACAGCCAGTCCTCTGCTGCATTCAGCTTCGAGAAGTGGTGCTTTTGAGTGGAGAAGAGACTGAATCCCTCTGTTCCTTCAGCACAGCAGATGCTCCCCAGAGCCTCACTGTTAGGAATAGGAAGGAAACAACAACTCAGGGGGCAGAAACACGGTTACAAAGGCCCCCAGCGTGATTTTGCTCACTCAATTTGTCTCATTGCCTCAAGCTGGGAGCCTCTCCTGAGCCCTGTGAGCAGGAGGAGAGGCAGTCCCAGGCACGAAGATGGGAGGGTGCACATCTGGGCAGCTGCAGGAGCACCAGTTCTGCTTCCCTGGGGCTGCCAGAGTGAAGGTGAGGGACAAGGGCACACACAACAGCCACCCCAGGCTGCATTACCCCATGTGGAAGCCACCACAGGTTATCAGGGATGGTAAGGGGCACAGGGACACATCTCACACTTGGGGTGCTCTGGCCAAGTACAAGGCACCACATGAGGATGCTCTGGGGCCATCTTTGGGGGAAACAACTGTTCATCTGCACAGCCTGCCCCTGGCTCCAGTCTCTGCTGTTGATTGTTTATCTTTAGTGTCCTTAGGAAAATCCCAGGCAGCAAAGTAGCAGTAAAGCTGATCCTGGAAGATCTTCCAAGGCTTATTTCCCAGGGTTGATATTGAAATCTGCTCCCTTTCTCTTGCTCCTACCAGTTAAGCCCAGCTGTGTGTCAGGGCTGCTGACACCCACAAGCAACTTTCCAAAACATACTAAAACATGTGCTTATACTGGGCTTAGATTGTCAGGAAAAAAAAAATGTACTTCTTTGTTTGGTTTGTGGGGTGTTTTTTTGGTGTTTTTGTTCTTTTTTTAATCAGATACCAATGAGTGTCACACTGCAGCCCATTGTAAGTGGCTAAGAGAGGAAAAAGTGTTTAGATTAATTCTACCAGTAAGAGATTATAAATGCTGATGTCCTCTATAACCACAACATACCGCTCTATTGGTTGTTTTTACAGGAGTGGACACTCTCAGCCCAAACATCCATTGCTTCTGCAAAATTTTTGTCTTTGAGACAAAGCCCTAACTTGTCTCAGCATTTCCCATTTAACTTCTGCAGCTTCCCCACAGGGCAGGGAAAACCTCTGCCCCGGGGCAAGCCATCCCCAGTCCCCATGCTGGAGTCACTGGTGGGAACTCAGCTGTGACCTGCTTGGTTCCTGCTGAGGATCACAGGACTGTGGTCAATGGGAAAGGCAAAGCCTCAGCTGAGGAGCCACCCCGCTGCCCAAAGGGACTTCATTTCCCCTCTGCTCTCAAAGGAGCTGGGAGCAGACCCAGCACCGACCTCCAAAAGCAGAAGCAGGTCCTGCATCGCACCACGGTCCAGGGCAGACTCTCCCCCAGCTCTCTGCTGGCAGGGAGTGGGTGATGAACTTTTCACTGAATTTCACTGACTTTTCACTGAATTTTAGAGTTGGAAGGGACCATAGAGATCATCTAGTCCAACTCCCCTGCTGAAGCAGGATTGCCTAGAGCTTGTCCAAGCATGTTACTCAGGACTGCATCCAGGCGGGTCTTGAAAATCTCCAAGGAAGGGGACTCCACCCCCTCCCTGGGCAGCCTGTTCCAGGGCTCTGTCACCCTCACCGTGAAGAAGTTTTTTCTCATATTTGAGTGGAACCTCTTATGTTCCAACTTGTGCCCGTTGCCCCTCATCCTCTCACTGGGAACCACTGAAAAGAGTCTAGCTCCCTCCTCCTTCAACCCTCCTTTCCTAAGGATGTTCACACAACTGCAGCCCTAAGAGCTTTAGGGCAAGATAGGGTGCCACCGAGCAGCTCCTCAGAGGGTTGATGGCTACGGGGGTACACCCAAGAGCTGCCACTGCTCCCAAGGAAACCACAACCCCCACACCATTAAATGCAGTACTGGCCTGAAAAGAGAAAAAACTATTAACTTCCACAGTGGACCCCCCCCCACACACACTACCCTGAGATGTACCCCCCCCAGGGTACAGATGAGGTTGGGTTTTCCCACTTTGGGGTGTTTCTGAGCAGCACAGAAGTGCACACCTGGCTGGTGACACCATGCCCTGGGCAGACAGGCACATCCCGGGATGCAGCCGCCGGCAGAGCCACGTGGCCACCCCAAGCTGCCATGCTGATCCCTTAACCCGATTAAGGCTGTAACACGGAGGGCCAATTTGCACCGAGCATCAGGCCATGATAATGCATTTCAACCTTTTCTGAACAACTCCTGGACCAGAAGGGATGCTTGAATAGAGCTCTGGGGGCATCAGGCCGCTCCAGGGTCCCCAGGACATTGGTATAACACAGCTTGGAGGGTGATGCTGCAGAGAAGAGGCAGAGAAACACAGTGCCAATGGTTTGGGTTGTGGAA